ATATATATATATATATATATATATATATATATATAATATATATATATATATATATATATAGTTATTGGCAATCTATACAAGGAAGTATCTCATCTCATCTATGGTCTCGTATTCTCTTCTCTTCTCCCTGTCTTCTTGTGTCTCTGCTCATCTATTAGCTTTGCTTGGGTATTGGATCATGGCAGGGGTCCAATACTCTGGTCTCTTTGGATCCCTCTCTCCTCTTTCAAATCACATTCCCTTTTCCGTCGAATTTGACTTCTCGTTCTGTTTTCTAAGGAATCATTCTTTGACAAGTAAATCTTCGAGTTTGTGTTTGGGCAGAACCACAAAAATCCGATCTTTTTGATGCCTCCTTCCTCCACTTCTTGTTCACTCATCAGATGCCAGACGTTAGTGGTCAAGACCTGATGTTTGTACAAGGTTAGTTTCAAGATTTTGCACACCAAAAATGTCATTTTTGTTTCTCTTTCAGGGATTTGTATTCTAATTACTGTGTGTTTTTTCTACTTGTATTTGATGGTAGACAGGTTCTTTTCGGTTAATGATCACCAGAACCTTTAAAAAGATATGCCATGCTTCATTGTTGAAAGTTCCTTTTCCCCCCCTTTTCTTTCTTTTTTATCTTCCATATATCATAGAAGTGCTTCTCGGTAGGGTTCGTTAGGAAGTGTGTTCTTATTTTCAGATGTAAATTTTGGAAGTTGCCAAGGATTTGTCTTCCCAAAAGAGAAATGTTTCCTTTTCCTTGATTCTTCGATATCTTTCAACCATTTGTAATGCTTTGTTTACTTTCTTTTCTGATAACCATGGATAGAATTTCCCTTTTTTGACTATTTCTATTCTTTATCTTGAAACTTTTGAGGTCCATCTTTAGTTCCTCTAAGGTTGCTTCATACATCAGATCTTTGATTTTTTTTTTTTTTCATTTTTTTGGCTATTACGTGTTAGCGTTTTACATTTACCATTTTGAAGCTTCAGATATTTCAATGCTTGATCTGAATATTATTTAGCAAGACCTTGTATTAGTCACTTTCCTCAACCTTAGTTCAATATTCCATTTGTTTTTCTTGCTGGATGTTGTAGCATAATACCCTTGCAAATAATAGATAAATATAAAACTGTAATGACTTAAGCTGACTGTCCCTTAGTCTGACTTCTTTTTTGTTTCTCTTTACAGTGCAAATGATTGCCTGAGTAATTTCAGTTGCCGGTTTGGGGCTGATGGGTAGAGGCAGAGGAAAGGGGAGGAAATTTGACTGTGGTCACTTCTAGTGAGGATCCAGGGAGTGGCAATGAAGAGATGCTCCCTGCATATAGGAGGAGAGGAAGGCCTCAGGAGCCTTTGAAGGATGACATTGAGGAAGACGTTACTGAAAAGACTGAAGAAGGAGATGATGTTGTGAAGCTTGATGCACCAAACAAAAAGCTTGAAGGCTTAACAGTGGCATATGGGAAGAAGAGGAGATATTCAAAAGCAAAACAGAAATCTGACATGGTCATGGAGGAAAATGGTTCTGGGTTGAAATCCAAAAATGGTGATTCAACTAGATCTAGTTGTTTCCGGTATAATGGGAGCCGGCGGAAGAGCAAGCCTCGTCGAGCTGCCAAAGCAGGAGTAGAGTGCAAGTGAGAATGTTCAACCAATTTTACTGAATTCTTGTATAATTCCTTTGCTAAATGTCGCTGATGGATGAGATACTTGATATTTCACTCATTTTGTTTTGTCACTTGTGTTTTTTTTTTTCAAGTATTGTTGTGTTCATGAATTAACTAGAGACTAGACATACAATATTTCTTTCATGGTGGCAGAGATGGTAAGAGACTAGTTTAATTTTAATTTCCATTCATTGAGAATTCTGAGCACAAAATTTTCTTGTTTTCTATTTTTATTTTTTTTACCTTGCATTATTCTCATTTAGGACACTTTTCATCCTTGGTTATTTGCATGCCATTTTCTGTAATCCTTGAACGTTAGATGTCAAATGGAGGACTCTTATATGTCTTCAGATTTTATAACTTTTTTATTGTAACTCAACTTATTTCCAAAAATTTTATTTGCTGATGTTTCTGGAAATTTGTGTTCCAGTAATTCCCAATCAAGTTTGTACTGTTAGATGTCAACTGGAGGACTCTTATATGTTAGCAGATTTTATAACTTTTCTATTGTGCTCAACTTATTGCCAAAAATTCTATTTGCTGTATGTTTCTGGAAATTTGTGTTCCACTAATTACTAATCAAGTTTATACTGGGATGTATATTATTGTATGTTCATTTTCTGTGGCAGTGGTACTTGCTTTGAAGATGCCTTATGTAATCTTCCGGTATTTCCTGCTAGTGTCATTTTGTACACTGCTAGAAGTGCATGGTTTGTTGTGTATTCGTGCTTTTGTACTGTGCATATATTTGTTTGTACATTGCTAGTGTACATGGATTCATGTGTTTAGCTTGCTTCTTTGCTATGCATATGTTATGTCATGTATTGTACTCTTTGTTCAGTAGTTTGTCATTTTGTCTATTGCATTCAATTGGCATGTTAGCTTTCAGGATTTGTCTCAGTAAACATTTATATTGGTTCACTCATGACTGACCATGTTACATATAGAAATGGAGAACCATGGAATAACAATCAAGGCAATAGTTTTTCTTTTCCTCCACAAAATACCATTCATCATTCATTTTTTATGTGTGTTTCAGTTCATGGTAATCATCGAATTGTAGATGCATAAGATAATATTTGTGTTTTTTTCAAATATAACAATTAAGAAAAATCCATTAGCCATAGTTCGAATATAAGATCAAGAGAAAGTGATCTCATGGTGGTGTCATTTAGATGCAAGTGAGATACTGGGCAGAGTAGGCACTGCATTACATCATTAAACAATGTATTTATTTTGTGTCCCGTGTCATATTGCATCCTGTGTCATTGTACACCATTTTCAATAAGTAGTCCTCTCTTAAGGCAAATCTTCTGCCACTTCTTCTGAACCATTTTATCGTTCATCAGAAATTTTTTTATTATATATTCAGATTTACAGTCTCTTTTTCAAATTAAATATGTCAGTCATGTTGTAATAGAGCCCTCTGATAAATTTTAATTCAGATAATATTTTTGTTCTTTTAATTTTGTATTAAATAAATTGGAGATTATGATAGAAGAAACTCTTATAGAAAATCTTGCACTATGTGAAGAAACTCTTTAGCGGCATTATGTTCTCAAGTTCTTCCATTTTCTTCATTTTCAATATTTCTTTCAATTGCCTACATACTGAAGTATGGCACACACTCTGCATATCCACTGTTTGATCTAACATTCTATCGATCACTGTCTTCTCATCTTGTTTGGTTGGATGGCAGTGCTTAGATGAGAACTTACATAGGATTGCATCCTCCTGCATACAGCGCTGCCAGAGCAGCATGATCGATATCCTTATTGTACCACTTCTACCCCACTGATTGCCAACCCTAACAAAGAAAGCCCTTATCATTTGTTTTGTCTTAGAACTATAACCTTTTTGTTCACGGGCAGACAATCTCCTGATTCATTTATTATGATACGAATCTCAATTGGTGTGCCAAATGTAACTTGAGATTGAAAATGTCTAATAGTTTATGGCATGGAATATCAATCGATACCAAGCCATGAGACATTTTTCAATCAGGTTACATGGGAATGAAAACGATAGGATTCCCACTAAACTAAGATAAAGCAGCTGTGCAGGATGGTCATCGAAAATGTTTCACAGAAAACAAAAGTGAGTATTCTGTTCAATGTTCTCTAAGCTTGATGATTGTAATTATGCTCTGCAACCAACATCTACACTATCATTCATTTGGTTTAACATTTAATTATCTTTATTAGTAGTTTCCATGTGTCTTTTTGCACTTGAGGTCTTCATCTCCAGACAGCTTATTTTTTATGCCACATGCCAGGAGCTGTATTTTTCATCCTAACTTTCTATGCATATTATTTTGCAGAATCCCATGTGTTCAATGCTTATATCTCAGCCTCCTGTTTAGTTGGTGAAGTTTGGTTCTCAAAGTTGATATCTCAAATCCCTGTGGTTTCATGCATGTGTTTGATATATTTGTGTGTGAATTAGAGGCCAACAATAAAGCTCAGGAATTGTTGGTCCATTTTGCATGTGATTCATTTGAGGATGTTCGGTTTTATTGATCCAGTTTGTATAACACCATTCCTAAGTTAATCCTAGTTGACCCA